CCAACCTTCTTTCCACCCTCCTTCTGCTCAACCCTCCCTCCCCTCTCTTTCCTCTCTCGCAACCCTCCTTTTCCTCTCCACCCTCCTGATCCTCTCTCTCCTGATCCTCCTTCTCTTCTCTCCTGTTCCCTCTCTCCAGGCCCTCCCTCTCCTCTCTACCCTCTCCCAATCCTCCTCCTCCTCTCTCCTGGCCCTCTCTCTTCCAACCTTCCCTCCCTCTTCTCACTCCTATCCTCTCTCCCAACCTTCTCTCTGATCCTCCCTCTTCTCTCTTTCCTCTCTGCCAACTCTCCTTCTCTCCCTGACCTTCCCTCTCTTCTCTCATGGTCCCTCTCTCCTCTTCTGACCCTCTCTCTCCTCTCTCCTGACCTTCCTTCTCCTCTCTCCTGAACCTCCTCCTGATCTTTCCTGTCTCCCAACCCTCCCTCTCCTTGTCTCCTCTCTCCCAACCCCACTTTCCTTCCTCTGGATCCTCATCCTCTCCTTTCTCGACCCTCTCTCTCCTTGCTAACCCTCTCCTTGCTCTGATCCTCTCTCATGACCCTCTCTCTGACACTCCCTCTGCTCTCCCCCAGGTTTCCACTGTGCCCTCGTGCCCCTCTTCAACCCCCTGTTCTCTCCACGGAACCTGGTGCTCGTGGCCGCGCGGACCCCGCTGGCCGCGGTGCTGGCCGAGGACAGCGAGGACGGGGACAGCAGCGAGGACGAGGACCCAGGGGGCTGAGAGCCCCTCGGGGAGAGCAGAGCCCCCCTGCCCCGGGCACAAACCACAATAAACCCGCGATTTTTACTGCCCAGGGCTGGGTGTGAGCGAGTTGGGGCTGCGCCGAAAGCGCCACGTGCCACAGACATGGAAAATCGAGGGGTGTGTTTATTGCAGAAGCCCAGCCGGGGGGAAGTCTGCCCCCCCAGTTAATACCAGTAGGATTTCTTGGCCCGCCGTGTCTCCACAATGCCCATGGCGTCCATGATCTCCTCCTCAAAGGTCTTCAGGGATGGCTTGTACGTCTTGGCCAGCGCGTCCTCCACTGACGTGTCCTTGGGGCCGTCTGTGCGGGCGAGGGGACAGCAGAGCTGAGCCCCCCGTGCCTTCCCCACGTCCCCCCAGGCCCTCTGCCGCCCCGCTCACCGATCCAGTTCTCGGGCACGATGCCATCCCGGCGTGGCTGCGGGGGCACGGGCAGGATGCGGCCGCTGCGCAGGGACACGCGGACGCGCTCGCCCTCCTCCGTGTACCTCCACTCCACCTCTGTGGGCTTCCTGCGGGCACACGGGCGGTGGGAGGGGGCAGAATGGCACGGGGGGG